AGGTGCCTCCTTTGCCCGTTACTCGCCCCAGGAAAGAGCTAGCCGGGGCTAGAGTGGAAGATCTAAGGGCACCTGGGGCTGAGGAAGCGCGGCAAATTGCCTACATTAAAGCCTTCAATAGCATTCTTCAATTTTTTAAAATTCCCTATATTTTTAATTCACTTATTTAATTTCTGGGACTGATCTTTAGAATCAATAAACAAGACAGTAATATCTTAAAATGAAGCTCATCCATATCTTGCATTTTAACAAGCAAATGAATAACTGATTCACAGAGAGAATAAATTCTCACTTTATTCATTCACAACATACATGGCTCCTACATGTGCACATTATTCCTTACGTCATGGCTGTCCTGGAGTTATTTTCTCCTATGTTCTACTTACTTGAGGGATGCCACCATTGTTAGATTACTAAACAAATCCCTCAATATTACTTAACTAAAATAGATGCTATTTATTAGGTGATGAGCCCGAATGTTTCTATATACCCCATATCTCATGCACAGGACACAGACTTCCACACTTTGCTTCCATTGGTAAGCTGCAAATGAAAATATTCTGTTTTTCTTGCTTTGCAAGTATCATTTGCCTGTACAGCAATTCTGAATGGATTATTAACGAACTCACAGATTAGTTTCACAATAAAGAGAAAGGTTTTTTTTAATAGCACACTGAGAAAAAAAAAACAAAAACAAAAAACCCCTATTTTTTTTATTTGATGAAATGTAGAACTAGCTGTGGTACCTACATAAAGTAGATGGTGAGTTTTCTGTGCTTTAAAATAATGCCCTCAAACAACCTGTGCATTTACATCTTATTATGTAAGATTGGGATCCCTGCCTTCCTACTTGGTTCTTGTAGAAATGGCAGAAAATAACAGAAGAGCAGAAAATGACAGATCCAGAAAAGAGATTTCACACGACTATTCCCTTTTTAGAACATTTTAAGCTTTATTAACAAAACACTATGAATTAAGTGATGAAGATCCTTGGCATCAGAAAACAGCTTTGAAAACCACTGTTTTAGTTTCCAAGATGAAAAAGCTTAATACCAAAACCATTTCTGTTTCCAACTATAACAGTATCTGGCATAATGTGATATTGTAACAGTAATTCCGTCTCTTGGTGAGTGTGGATGGCTTCTGCTCCAAAGTAAGAGCAGAGCTATGCAGTGGAAGGGTCAGCTTTGAGCTTGGCAGAACACAGCATATGTGATTTTAGGCAAGTCGTTCGATACCACGTCCAAGAAAGGCAGCAGGCAACACTTACAGTGCATAACTTCAGGGCTTGGTCTCCTCTTACAGTTAGGTGAAGGACTGCATAACTAGGGAATTGTCTAAATCTAGCTAGGAGAGAGATCACGGAGAACAGTAACTGGACTGAGTGCCTGTGGTGTACCATTGCCTGCCTCTTGCCAAGACAAAGTTGTGGGCAGGTGCACAAGCATGGAGCACAAGCATGGAACCAAAAGTCCAAACCCCTCCCAAATGCTTCAAACACACATTTCTGAAATTTCAGCTCCTTCAGCGTTAGATGATAGCTGACAGAGCTTTTAAAAGGACCAAAATATTGGATTTTTATATGCTTAAAAGTTCTGTCTGTCCCACATTAGGCATTCCAGCAGCACTGAACCTTCCAAGTTAATTTTTCTTTTTACCTCAGCTATTTCAGTATTACCCATAATGTGTGGAGCAGGTGTGTGCTAAATTCTTTTTGCATCTGGATCATAATAATTCTGTATTCACTCCTTTACACATAGAACAAGAATATCAGTTTCCTATTCATACACTATGAGGAGAAAAATCAGGCACCCCCCATCTTTCTAGACCGCCACTTGAATTCTACATGAGGCCTTTTAGCTGTCAAAGTTGTGATATATAATTACACTGTAGATAGTATTAAGAATTAGTAGTTTATTCTAGTCAGAGGAGGAACATAAATACAGAGAGAATTCTTGATACTAAGGTTTATTTGTTGATGGAGCTAGGGGATTGATTTTGAGCTTGACTGAGAGATTTCCCATACAAGATATTGTCAGAATTAAATGTCAGACAATTAAGTTTCTGGTGATATTTTCTAAAATCAATTTCTTTAGTATACATGAAGTTAAAAATCCATTGTTGGTTTGTGTTTTTAGGTTCTCCCCCTAAGATGGTTGTTTCCTGTTCCCCCCTTTATGTTAAATGGTCCTGCCCTCCTCCTCCTCCTCCTCCTCCTCCTCCTGTCAATCCTCCCTTCCTCCACCCACCCTGCATTAAATTCTGCAGTTATTCCCCTGACCCCACCCTGGGGCCTGTCTGTCGCTCGGAGGCCTCTGCTCTCCATCTGGAAAGTTCCATCAAGGCCTCGAGTGATGTGCTGGTCTCTGGGGTTCCCTCCTATCTCCCTTCCCCATTGGATCCTTCCCCTGTGTGTCACCCTTGTTGCTACCCCATTAACAACACCCTCGGCGCCTTATGGTGGGCATCCCCCCGAGTTAAGGTTGCTCTTTGGAGTTCCCCAGTAAACGTGGATTGTGGATCCCCCCAAAAGGACGACTCATTTGCTTCTGTTCTCATCGCCATTCATCTCCCGGGTCTGGTCGCTCCGGACCTACAAGCCGCCGTCCCTGCCACCCGTGGATCGGGAAGGTGGCCCCCACTGCCCGCAGAGTCAATCAGTGCAGGGCATGCCAGTGAGAGGGACAGATGCTGAGACAATCCATCGCTACTTTTTTTCTTCAATATCTCAGCTAAATCTATTTCTTACCAACTATACAGTATTGAAATTGGGAGCCTCTTTTACGAAGAAACGTTTCATCTCCACAGCAGAAGCTGTGATGCCAGAAGGTAAAAAGTGCAGAGAACACAGAGGTGGGCACTGGTAGCCCCACTCCTGTCTCTATAGAAACCCTCAGGGCTTCCCTGACCAATTGTCAGAAATTGATCACTGTGCTGGTTGACTGCCCGTCGGGTATCTGGGGCACATGAAGAGTTTATTGGTTTTGCACAGCCTGGTTTTTGGTAGCGGGGGGGCCACAGAGATGGCTGTTGTGGAAAGCTGCTGGAAGCTTTCCCTGATGGCTCTGAATATGGAGATGCTGCTGGCCAAAACCAGGCCCCATGAGAGAGGCTGGTAACAGCTCTGTGATGACATATTTCAGAAGGAAATCAATACAAAGTCTGGTTTTTCTTCTAGTCAGAGAAGAAGTGGAGGTGAGAACATGTGAAGGAAAACAACATGGGGACACCAAGGCCCGTGAGAAGGAAGGGCAGGAGGTGCCCCAGGCACTGGAGCCGAGATTCCCCTGCAGGCTGTGGTGCGGACCATGGTGAAACAGCTGTGCCCCTGCAGCCCGTGGGGATCCACGGGGGATGCAGAAATCCACCCGCAGCCCGTGGGGATCCATGGGGGATGCAGAGATCCACCCACAGCCCGTGGGGATTCACGGGGGATGCAGAAATCCACCCGCAGCCCGTGGGGATCCATGGGGGATGCAGAAATCCACCCGCAGCCCGTGGGGATCCATGGGGGATGCAGAAATCCACCCGCAGCCCGTGGGGATCCACAGGGGACGCAGAGATCCACCCACAGCCCATGGGGAGGTGCCCATGCCGGAGCGGGTGGATGCCTGGAGGGGGCTGTTATCCAGGCTGCTTTCCAGGGCTGGGAGAGCCGGTGTGGAGGACCCTGCTCCCAGGAGTCCTTGGAGGACTGCACCCCGTGGAAGAGTGACCCACGCTGCAGAAGTTTTGGGGGCAGTGTCTGCCTGTAGGAGAGACTCACGTTTGCAGCAGGTATGGTATGGGAGTGGCCCCACGCCAGAGAATTTCACGGAGAGCTGTCTCCCGTGGGAGGGACTCCATGGGGAAGGACTCCTCTCCCGGAGCAGCGGAAGAGAATCTTGGTGATGAATTGACCAAACCCCCGTGCCCTGTCTGCCTCCATTGTCGGTGGGAAGGAGGGAATGCTGCGGGGAAAAAGTTGTTTTAAGAGTTTATTTTACTTCTCATTATCCTCCTCTGATTCTGTTAGTAACACGCTTCACGTTGCAACCTTAAAGCTGAGACTGTTTTGACTGAAGTGTTCTTCCTGGTCCTTATCTCACTCATGAACATTTTGTTAATTTTTTTTTTTCTATGTCTGCTGCCCAGCTGTGGCCCGGGAGGGCGAGCAAGCGACACTCGTGGGTGCCTGGCGATGGGCCAGTGTCAAACCAGGCACAGAGAAACCGATGGTTCACCCTTGACGGTCCGTGCCTCTCTCCAGGATGTCAGGGGCAGGAAAAATACTGGCAGTTCTCATGCTGAACCCAAACCACACCGGGCACCTCTGCGCCCGGCGTGTGTTCAAGACACGGCTCATGCCATGCGAACTGGTCCTGGGCAGTTTGTACGTTCGGTAACACACGGAATTAACGTGCAGCGCTTAGTGCCACCTGCAGTTTGGGCTCCGAGATTCTGACCCCGGTGCCGCGGGCGGGACAGGCGCGGAGCGCCGCGGGCGGCGGCCACGCGGGGCCCCACAGTGCGCTCCCGACGCCAGCAAGGACTAACGGAGCCCAAGGCCCGGCGGGCCAGGCGCGGGATGCCTGAACCTCCGGCCCTTCGGGGGCTCCCCTCCAGCGGGCCGAGGCTCTCTCTGGCCGCCGGGGCGACGAGGGCGGGCACGGAAGGAGCCCCGAGCGAGCGCTGCGGGCATCAGGCGGCCGCGCACCGCCGCCGGCTCTGCCGCCGGGCCGGCCCCGCTCCCGCCCTCCGCCAATGACGGCCGGAGCCGTCACCGCGCTGCGTCACGGCGGCCGCCAAGATGGCGAAGGTGTCGGAGATGTACGACGTGACTTGGGAAGGTAACGCCGCGCAGCCGGCGGTCCCCGCCCGGGCAGGGGCTGTGCCGGCCCCACCGGCCCCCGGCCGCGGGGAGGGGCGGCGCCCCCGGAGCGCGGCGGGCGCGGGCCGGCGCCGGGAGGCCGTGCCCAGGCCTGGGGAACAGCAGCGCGGAGCCGCCGCCCGGCTCCTGGGGCTGCGGGCAGCCGGGCCGCCAAAGCGGCGAGCTGCGCTCGGCTCCTCGGTGCCCGCAGGTCCCCGGACGGTGAGGCGCCCCTGGCCCGGAGCGCCCCTGGGGCGGGCCAGCCTCCCCTCGGCTCCCCTGGGCTCCCCTGGGTCCGCTCCGCAGGGACCCATCCCGCGTCCCCGGGGCACGGCGGCGGCCGCGGCGTCGCCGCTTGCCCGCCTTCCCCCTTGGGGACAGCGCTTACCGGCGAGAGTGGTCTGGCAGGGTCCGCAGTTTGCGTCATGGCTCATCTTTCGGTGAACTGAAAATAAGTAAAACTAGGTCATAAGCATTTGTGGGGAAACTTCAAGAACGTCTTAAGTGACAAAAGTTTTTGAGAATCCCGTCCTCCGGGTCTTTACAGCTTTCTCGTGTGTTCGATCATAATGGTGATTTATTTTTCATATAGCAATAATGTCTGAGCTTTACTTGACATTCTCAGTGGTTATTTTTCCATAACCGGTATTAATGTGTGAGCTCAAGACAGCACTCAAGCCCTTTCCAGTCTCCTATCAAGAATAAATGAAAGGTTTATAGTAACAATTTTGACCATAAAGGGGAACCTTTAGCTATGTACCATGCACTGCAAACATTATAGTGTAGAGAAGATAACATAGAGAGAAGCTGTGTCATCTTGGGTTTTCATTTATGTACTGCCAATCTGTGAAGAAATAATTGAGCAGTAGAATAATTCCCCAGTCATTAATTAATGCTTAGTTTGATTTTGTAGCTAACAGGATGAACTTTGGGAAAACCTTGATTGACCATTCTTTTTTATCTTTTCTTGTAAAGCTCAGCTTGAAAGGAGATCATATCGATCATTACTGGTGTTGCTGTTAAGATTTTCACAGAAGTTGCCCTAAACCACCTTGTGTTGAAAAATTTTTCAGTTTTTATTATTCTTTACCAGATGTTGTTACAAAATGCAGGGACTTAGTTGTTTATGGCTTTTTGTGGGTTTTTTTGGTTTTATTTTCCCGATTGTTCTTGAGTATCAATGACGGAAAAGAGCAATGAGCTTTTTCACAGGGTGGGCAACACACACTGTGAACTTGTCTGTGTATGTTTAGCCCCAGATTGTTTTGGCCCAGGGTGTTGGAGAGTGTATGTTTATACTCTAACATAGAGGCCAGATGTAGGATATTCAAGCTTAATGCTTCTGGATTTGGCTAATTCATACTGAGGTGAGCTTCCTACTCTTAGAAATAACCTCCACATTTTGTTTCCAAGAATTCTGATTGACAGTTGTGGCATTGTGCTAGCTGTAGAATTTCATGTATGGATGGGGTTGAATGAGAAATTTCAGAGGACCAGCTTATGAGTTTTATCTATCGACTTCTTAGTCTCTTCAATTGTTCATCCAAATGTAACGCTGGTGTGTGTTGGTACAAGGGACTGTCTCCACTTTGGAAGCACACATTTGAAATATTCTGTATTATTTTTTCTCTATTACAAGAGATGAAAAGTAAAGTGTAAAAGGAGTCCTGCAACAGACTATGGAAGGACTCTTCTTAAAAAAGATAGCTTTTCTATTTTCTCTGTGTGAGCTTTAACAGATCCTGATGCAACGTAGCTTTTCATGGGTGAGGTGATCCCAGCAGTGTTGTGACCTAGTTCCTAGCAAAGAGCTTGAGCACAGTTCTAGGAATTTTATGTTGCTCATTTTGAATGATCTCTAAAATGCCTAATTTATGTGAAACTAGTTATATGGTTCATATGTCCTTTATATACCCAGGCGTCTCTAAACAAGACATTTTATACGTACATATTGGTTAAAGATGAATCTGCAATTCAAGGTTAGGAAAGAAGAAAAACATGTAACAAATTAAATAGTTTGTACCTTGCTTTGCTTTTCACTCAGGTTCTTTGAGACAGAGCTAGGAGTTTAACCATGGTTAATTTTTTTTTAGGTACATGGCATGGTACAGGTGGTTAGGAAAGATAACTGAAAATAACTGGGTTTTCCAGTGTGGGAGCTGTGGTTTTTATTTTTTCTTTCTTTACTTTGTTGCTGTATCTCAAGCTTTAAAGTATACTTAGAAATCTGTGTAGAAGGAAAACATCTTGTTCAACTTCATGGTCTTGATCAATGGGCTTAGATGATCCAATACCACAGAGTGCAGTGGTATTGAAAGAGGAACTTATATATTTTTATGTAACATATATTTTACAGTAACGCTTATTTACTTGAGACAAAGGTGATATCTTGTTCCTTTTTTTTTTTTAATACTGGTTCTAATTATTCTAGAGAAAATGGCATATTTCCTGTTCCTTCATAAAAAAAGAAACTATGTGGAGTGACAGGAAGCCAAAAACTGAGGGTGTAGCCAAGGAGTGTGATGTAGTAGGTTTGCACATCACTTGGTACCTGGTGATGTGTAGTCTCTTACTAGGACTTTCTTAAGCTATGTAGAACTTTGTAGAATAAATATTTATCATATTTTAAATGATACATTAAAGAGGAATTTGTCCCATGAGTGGAAATACTAAAAAAACACCTAAATTTTAGGAGCAGATTTTGGAGTACACAAGTGTAAAAGTAGCACAATCTGCAAACAGACAGCAGTTCAATAACAGTTGACTTTCACTGAAAATGCATCTTACATATTGTCAGAATTGGACAGAATGAGCCAGGTTTTCTTTTCTTAACCTTGCACAGCAGCATAATGATGTTAAACACATCACACCCTGCTAAAGGGAAGCAGTGCCTTTCAGCTGTCACTGCTGAGCTTTGTGGGGATCTTTGAGGCCGTCACGACAACTCTTGTTTCAGTCAGTAATTCTTCTAAGTGGTTAGAAAAATGAAAAAGAGACAGGAATGGTATATTCTTTAAACTAGATTTCTTTTGATATAAATTGAAAAAGTGAAGAAGTATTTTTTTAGATTTTTATTAGCTCTGAATGCCCCTTGCTTAAGTTATCTGTAACTTAAATTAAATTTGTACTTCTATTTTCTGTATTAAAAATTGCACTTCTTCAATAGTAACACTTTAAAACTTTTCATTGCCATGTTCATGTGAAACTTTTTTCAAGGAACTCTTTGTCACTTTTGAAAATACCATAAAATGCTTTATAAGGTGAAGTTTACCAGTGTGTGTATTTCTTGTAAATGTGTATCTGGGAAAACGTTACATACAAAACGAGAAAATTCCAAATTAATTTAAAAATCAAGCCCTTCTATCTTTAGTGTTAGGTGACAAACTCCCTTTCTGTGACTTAGAAAATGAATTAATATTCAGTTTGTATAGCAAGTCTCTAGGAAATAGGAAACAGTGTAGCATTTAATCTCTGTAATAGTCTTTCTGCAATTAACTCTTTCTGATATAGCTTTGTTGTGTTCTGTGCTGTCTTTGCTTTCTTTTAGCTATTCCTAATTTTCAGTTGTAATCAAAGGGTCAGATCAGTTTACTCTGGGTTTTATATATGGATTTATGGGACTATAACAGGCAAAGGTGAGATGCTGTTTTTCTTTTCTTTTTTTTTTAATTGAAGCCCTTTTGACAGCACAGTTGCCAGGGTTAGAGGCAGCATCTGCAGCATCCAGCATGACACCTGTGCCTCAGCCTGCACCTGCCAGATGAGAATACACAGAGGTGGGCTGTGGGTGAAGATTTGCTGTTTGTAACAGAGAATCAATATACAAATGATCTCTGGAAATATAATGCCTGCGGGGTCCCTGAGTGACTGCCATGGTGGCAGCAATATGCCAAGGAGATATTCTTGAATTTGCAATTTCTGCCTGCCCCAAAGTGGTGATTTCCTTCATTTAATCAGGTGCTTTTAGATATCAAGGACTTGATAACTATGATCCAATTCATGAATGGAAGTGTAGGTAATTAGAGGAGGATTATTTCATACCTGGTTGCTCAGGCCAAATGAACTGACACTAGACACAAAAATGAAACACAGGTTGCATCTCCTGGCTTGCGGTAGATTTCTTGCATGATTTTAGGCAAAAGCAAACATTGTCCCAGGTGCCTCTGTTCCTTAGACCTTGTACCATTTTGATTTACCTCTGCCTTAAGTACCAATTTAGAAAAACCCAAGTCTAAAAACAAATATATCAATTGCTCAGTACCAGCCTATAGGTGACAGAAGTTTTAATTAAAATGTAGACATTTCTTTATCTTACTTGTCTTTTTCTTCTAAAATCCCTAATTATGTCTCCCCAGCCTTGTATTGTTTCCAAGACTTGAGTTGTTATTGTCTCTTTTGATAGATTTCTTAGTAAAAAAATTCATTGTTTGACAACATTGTAAAAAGACTTGTATAATTTTACTGCAGTTCTTAGTGTTTTCTTTCTTCTACCTTTTACAGAAAATTCAGGGTTTTTTAAAATTAATAAATGTTTCATTCATCAGCTGATGTTCTATTCTTTGTCCTAGAGGTTTTTTCCATTGCTGTAAATGTACTTGTGTGAGGAATGGTAGATGTACCTTCTGTTAATACATAATTCAGACACTGTTCCATTTGGAATCACACTGGAATGAAGGCATTGATAATTTCCAAGTAAATGAGTGGGTGGAAATCAGACAGCTTATTTATTTTTAGGCGTTTAGCTTGTCAGCTTTTGTGAATGTTTGTGTTCACTCACATTCTTGCCGTCTAACGTTGAATTTCCAGGGACCATCATATGTCTAGAACCATTTAAGTTTGCCCATGCATATGAAATGTAACCCTGTGGTGGTTTTGGTTGAATTTCAAAATACAAAATGTAGCACAATAACAGTCTTATGAGCGATCCGAGATCACTTCAGGTAGATGGAACAACTTTCAGTGCTTAATTTTTAACTGTCATTTATGTTAACTCTGTGTTGTGAAGTGCAAGAAAAACTGACAGTGTTTAGATATATCGCTGTATTTGTTTTTCAGCTGTTGTAAAGTTTAAAATAAATACTAGCAACAGTTATCCTGGTACCTTCTTATTAGTAAAGCCACTATCTGGTAATGAAAACTATTTTCTTTTAAGTTTGCTCAAAATTTGTTCTTATGTATAGAACAGCTATACTTAGATAAATGTATGTGTATATAAAATCTCATTATTAGCCATTTCCTGGTCTAGAGGATAAATAAAGCTCAGGCAAGGTAGTGTTCTCTACCTGACTTAATGAATATGCCTGCTTTCTTGGAGATCTTAAATGTACTCTTGAAACAAAAATCCTAATAATAAAATAAACTGTCATTTCTACATTGCCTAGGTAAACAGTGATATTTTTTGTACTTTTGGACACTTCCATGGTGTAGAAAGCCTTTGCATCCATGCAAAGCTCCTTTATTGGAGCTCCTTTCTCTAGGAATGGGGAGATTCCTTCAGAGTGGAAGTTCTAATGTTTTTTCTAAAATTTCAGGTGAAAATTTATCCACATGTAGCAAAAAAGCAACTTTAGTGTTGTTTGTAGATGTGTGAAAATACTCAGGAGAAATCTCTTGTAGCCTATTTTAGCTAACAATGGATAAATTTTATTATTTATTGGATAACCAGGTATACATTTTTTTATTTCATGTGTAATTGTCCTGAGAGACTGCTAACTTAGAAGTTGAATTGATAATGTTAGAGCATGAGCACAGTTTGGGTAATAAGGTTTCAGAGATCTGTTCTCTAGTAGTTTTTAATTTTAGTAGAAATCACTTTCTTAGCTCTGTTGCTCTTTAATCACATTCTTCAGATGTGTATCTTATCTATCATATGCACATTCAAATGCCATTACTATCTGAAAATCTCAATTTTTTTCTCCCCTTTGCCCACAGATATGCGTGATAAAATGAGGAAATGGAGGGAAGAAAACTACCGAAACAGTGAACAGATAGTGGATGTTGGAGAAGAGTTAATTAATGAATATGCATCTAAACTTGGAGATGACAGTAAGTAAACAATCATTATTTTAAAAATTTCCTTGACTGATTATGTTTTCTTTTTTCAGTCTGTATTTTAGTTAACAGCTTTTATGTTGTCTTCCAGGATGTGCTGATGTTGATGAAATATATATTGTTTTGTTAGTCTAGTAGGCTTCCAGAATTCCAAGAGCTTATTTCTTTCCCAAATGTATGCTGCAGTGAAAACAGCCCTAAAAATTACCTGATAGAACTCTTAGCGTGCTATATTAGTATTTAGACTTCAATGTGAAAACTTAATTTGAAACTGTTACTAAGATATTATTTGCATGATTTTCTGATCTTCAACTGTGTGACAGAGATTGAAGCAAGTCCTCACAGGGATCTGTCTTGAACATGGCAGTTATGATGTTGGGAAAAATAAAGAATAAGAGCTTTTTTGTCTTTCAAGATATCAGAAAGTACTTTGGCACTGAAAGTGCTAAATTGCTTAAATAAGTTGTTGATTAATTCCAGCAGTTTCTTAATTTGTTTGTGTTTCAGCCATGATTTGTGAGAGTAGAAGGGGAAAAATGTACAGACAGAATTAACTATTCCTGTTTACATGATAGGTGCTTCCTATTATCTTAAACAAAACCCAAACCAGTTATCTGCATTTATTGTCTCTTTGTGTCCAGTTTGGATAATTTATGAACAGGTGATGATTGCTGCCCTGGACTGTAGTCGAGATGATTTGGCACTGGTAAGTTTTCAAGCTGACTTTGCTTTCACACTGTATGTATTCATCCTGGGTGTCTCTTCCAGATTGTTTTTGGAAGTTACAGCATATTCTGACTCCATGGCTTGGACTGGTAGAAAGAATATCTGTCAAGAAGTGCACAGCTATGAAGAAACTGCCACCACCTACCTCGTCTAAGGCATAACTTTTGTTTAGACAGATCACATCTCTTCCAATAGCCATGAAAATATTTACAGCTACTCTGGTATGGGCTAAAGGTCAAGAATAATATTGAAGTTGCCATATTGTACAGAGAGGGTTTGTTTATTGAAAACCTCTCAAATTATGTTGGTTTTCTGAATGTTTTGAGGTAAAATGACCCATCTTACATATATTATATGTCATGTTGGCTACCATGAGAGAAAGTCACTGACATATTGGAGCAGGTCTTCAAGATTAATAAGGAGCTGGACTGCATAGTGTATAAGAAAAGGCTGGAGGTCTGTGGTAAGTCCTAGGAAAGCCAAGAAGGGATTTTTTAATACTGATGGGAAGGAAGGTATAAAGAAGCTGGGCACATATTTTCATAGGTGTGCAACAAAAGACAAGTGTGGGCATAAGCTGTAACAAAGGCAATTCCACTTACATATTATGAAAAATTTATTGCATGCTTTATGACAAATGGCACATTGAAGCTGCGAAATCTCCTTTGGAAATGCTTAAAAATAGATTGGGATATGGCTTTGAACTCCCTTAGAAACTGGCTCTGTTTTGAGTGGGGATTCAGAGCAGGTGATCTCCAAAAGTCCATTGCAATCCAAGTTATTTGGTGGTTGTTGATAAAAATATTGTTAATGGATATTTGAATCAATTTGTATGCAAATTTATTTGAATGATATAAATAACCATTGAGATAGAATTAACTTATTTTGAACTGTAACCTGTTTGTTAAATTAAAAACAAAAAAAGACACTGAAACAAACAAAGCAACCCAGTCAGCTTAGTTGATCCTTTAAAGGCAAAAACAGAAAGAGGCAAAAGTTTGTCTTACAGGAAAATGTTAATCTTTTCACCCCTCCTTCACAAAACAGTCAGAAGAAAACAGAGGCTTACCTTGTGCCCTGAAAGCCATCAAGCTTGAGCTTATTCTAGGTAAAAAGCCATTTTCAGGGCTCCAGATCCTTCACCACAACTAGTCCTCCAGTGCCTTGTTCTCTGTCAGATGACAAAATACCTCATAAAATCTTTGAGGTTCATGTGATGTCATTTTGGTAAAACTTACTGCAAGTGGTCAGACTAGAGGATGAAGTTTGGAGAAGGGCAGTTTGAAAGTAGGCAGAACTAGACAGGGTTATCTGGCCATATATATGTATATATATGTATATATATATATGTTGAAATGGAATATGCTGGAAAATGTACTACAAGACTTTGAACTTGTGAACCCAACTGAACTTCCCTCTCTTTTGTCCCTCAGAAGAAAATACTGTTGTAGTATAGCTGTTTGTTTAAACAAAAACAAATAGACTTACTCTTTAAATAAATACATTTTTGTGTCCTGATTTATATGTAAAACAGATTTGGTCTTTATTTTCAGGGTCTTTTAAAGAAGACTTTCACAAAATTGTTGACTGAGCCAGTGTTGAAAGATCAGTTGTGAAACGTTCTTTGTTTTTACTAACCCTAGCAGGGAGTTTAAATTTCAGTGTCTATGTCCTTTAAGGAATATTGCTTGAGATGAGGGAATGCAACATTTTGTATGCAGCTTGATGAGATTAAAAGCATAGGTGGAAACTTAGAGGGTTTTTTTAAAAATTTTATTAATTTATAATAAATAAGTAGTTAATTTGAACAAGCTTATATCACCTGTGGCATTTTACTACAGCTGTAACTCCAAAGTAGACAAACAGTTTTGGCTTTTCTGTTTTTTTAGCAGTGAGCTTTTGATAGCTGGGATGCATTTTGCTTAGGGGGATAGGTATCTACTCCAAATGAGAAGCTGAGGTAGTTTTCAGAGTAATTCCTATGACTTCATTTTTTCTTTTTCTTTCCTTATTTATTACTTTGCCCTTTTTGTCCTGCACCAAAAATCCATGTGTAATGCATGCCCCTGCTGCAGCCAGGCAGTCAGTTCACACAGGTGGTTTAGTGCAGTCACCTTTTGTTGGCAGCAGTTGCATTACTAGTGTTTTACCTGCTGAAGTCCAGGTTTATATTTTTTGGCCTTTGTCTGATGTTTAAAAATTCAGAAAGCAAATGAAGTGCAAGTTAAGTTTCACATGCAAATTGTGTTTGCCATTGTAACCGAGAAAATCTCACAAGTAGATCGTTTACTGACGTGGTGCAAAACAGGTCCTCAATAAAATAAATTATTATGGGGATTATAAATCCCAGTTTAAAAAGAGGACATTCAGTGCTGCTGAGTCCAGAACATTTTGAAGATATAGCTGGTGTAGTTTATTAATGTGCTTTTGGTTTTATCAGTGTTACAATGAGTTGTTCATGACTTTCCTACAACTTTTCCTGTCACTGTATTGTGTCTGATAGCTTAATCTACAGGAGTTTATTGTGACCCCTGGACTGCTGTATTCAGTTGAGTAATGGTTGTGTAACGAGATCTAATGTGAGCAATTCTCATCTTGCATTACTCCTGCACTTGAGCACTACTTTCATATTGTCAATGAGGATTTTTTAGATGTAAAAGCCTATCTACAGATTGTGGACTTTAGTATTGCAAATGTTATAATTTTTTATTTGTACTTTTTTTTGGAGAAAAATAGTACATGTGTTTATAAAAATCACTGTCCTTCAGGGTTCACTGATCACTAGACCACAGGATGGATTTATTGTATGCAAAAGTTCTTTTTAATGTCTACAGGGTTGTCTGGGTTTTAAAAGCTGGAATATATCTACTTTTCTGGAGTTTCATGTAACTTTTTCTGTCTCTTAAGAATGGTCAGAGTTCAGTCTGACCATTCTTAAGAGACAGGAAAAGTTCAGTCATCATGTAACATACTGCTAAGTACATGTAGTTTTTTTATGACTAGAGCAACAGCAGTTCACCTAGACATCACTCAAAGTTCCAGTAAACAATTTCTGTGCTGAACCTGAGCCTTTCTGCATGAAATTGCATTGTTAGTATCTTGATTCATTGCAAGTCAAGTTAATTGTGATGAAAATAGTCTGTTCTTGCTTGAGGCTAAGCATCACAACTTTGGTCACTGTTGCATTTCTCTTTTCTGTTTCTTAGCATCTAGGAGAGATGCAGATATTCCTATTGGATATGCTTTAGCAACCTGTTTATCTACAGAAACAAAAAGGGATCCTAATTGTTACTGATTTGTACTTTGTCCTTTGACCAGTGGATTTGATGAGCTGGAACAGATTATGTAGGTCTCTGCTAAGAACCTTATGTTTGAAGAACAAGTTCCTAAGTTGAGTTGCATAAATAAGTGCCTAGAAGAGGATTCAGCATGAAGCTTTTAACATGATGCACACCACTGGTCTGTTTTGAGAGCCTATGGACTGTCCTGCCTCCCACTGTCATGAGTCAGTTAGGAACTTCACAATAGCCATGTCCATGATACGGTTATGACTTAGCTTACTGTGGGGAAGTTGTGACTCAGGCCCTCTACCAAATATTCTCTGCTAATCCAGAAAAATCTGCCTGATGAATTCTTTTTATCCATCCTAGGTGTCTCATTGATTTCAGGAGTTAAAAATTATGCCTCTTCTGCCAGCAGGCTGTACCCAAGCCAGTGGCAAACATTTTCTTTGGATTTCAAAGTTGTATTTTAAAAATAAACACAGAGCATTATATTAGCATAGTTTGTTCCATTGTGAAATATCCATTTATTAAAGAAGTATCACTTAAGCTCTTACTGTCTTTGTTTTTTTTACTGTCTTGTGTTACTCTGGGGCAACTAAATAGAATTCAAGTTTTAGTAGTGCCAGAGCTGTTTTAGTAGGTGAGTGTAATTTTCTGGGAGCATAACTATTTCCAAGGGGGCCTGACAATCTAATGCCCTGTATGGAAGATACTTCTTAAAATCAGTCACCTAACAGACAGAATTTCATTTTCCGACTTTTCTCCTTGTCAAGGCATTTTATTGCTTGTTTCAAAAATTGGTATTTACTTTTACTCAGAACTGGGATGGTAGATAGTTGAATTATGAGTGAAGTCCATTTTTTAATGTTTTTTTCTTCTTCTAGCTTCTGTGAAGATAATTATATTCACAATAGTATTTTTGGTTCTTTGTATAGTTTTGTCTTCAGGAACTGAGGCGGCAGTTTCCTGGGAGCCACAGAGTTAAGCGATTAACTGGGATGAGATTTGAAGCCATGGAAAGGTAAAACCTGAATTTTAAAAAATGTACTTTCTGTCTGAAAAAATGTTTGCTCTTTCTTAAAAAAGCATTCAGCCATTGCAAAATGGCTAAATAATTCTGGGCAGTTCCTTTATAGGAAATAACAGTGTGCATGATCATATTAAGACTTTTAGACATCTCTATTGCATTTTTGCAGATACTATGCAGTGTTTCATTTTTTCAATCTTCCCATCAGAGGTCACAGACCTGAAGGATCTCTTACTTCACAGCATAATTCATTATACAGCAAAACACTGCAGAAGCTTTTGACAAATTCTGTGAGGTGTAGGTTTCATCTCGGAGATGTAGGCTGGCATATGAAAATCAGTGCCAGTGGTTTTTTTGCCTTAATTGTTCTTCTATACTCCTGATTATTGCAGGGTGCAGCTCTTTACCCTTATTTCCTGAGTGTGGGTAAATTAACTTAAAAAAGATTAAATCTATAGAGTTTGTTATGGAAACAAATCAAAAAACAAATGGAATAGAATGGCTGAACATAAAAATCAGACCTTTTTTCAATATCATGTAGAAGGGTTATGACATACTAAGTTCAACAGAAATTATTAAAATAATGAACAGATCAAAACTTTGCAACTTTCCAGATGAATGACCTCAGGACTTGCAGGTTAACTTTATTGTACACATTTCTCCTTGTATGCATCTTAGTTGTCAACATTCTGTTCTATGGCACTTGTCTTGGATGTGAAGAATGATATTTGATATAATTTGAATGGTAGGAAATCTGTTCCATGCCACGTTTTGAACAGAGTTGGTGAGTTTTGAGCCTTTGGGCCATCTTGATAAAAATAAATTGAAAATACAGCCTAAATGCTTTTTTAAAAGATACTTAGCATACTTACTTCATCCATTATATTCTTGCAAAATTAGCTTTTAAAATAATATTTGATATGAAGCACTGATAAATGTCCATTGCTTGGATCAACGAGAATGGATAAGTGGACTCCATTCACAGGAGCCATCTCAGGGCAACCAGATGCTCTGTTTCACACTCACTTTATATAAGGTGTGTATTTGTGAAGGATTTCCATTAAACTTATCTCTCTTGTCTTCATTTTATATAGGGTAGGAAGACAGAGAATTACAGAAGTTTTTCCCCCTTCTTGAAACTTATTCAGAAGTACTATAGATCATAATTCTGTTCAGGCTTATGTGACTACATTAAAGATGTTACTGCATGGGACTTGATCTTTGTGGAAGATGACTGCTGCACAAACACCGTGTGGTTTCAGCAATTAAACACTATTGAGCCATGGTTTTCTGAAAGTGCTCATTCATCAAAGTTCTTAACAAAATGTCTCTGTCAGATCAGATCCTTGAGATCATACTATCAAGGACCAGAGAAAGTAACAAAAACTGAAGTTTTGTGTCCATAGGTTTTCTCTAGAAGCCAGAGCAGAAGGAGGCTTCAGCTTGGGGTTGTTTGAACAGGAACCCATCTGCAGGTGCTCTAACCATTGCCCTAGATAAGTGTGTCCGTCTCCCCTGACTATAAAAGAAATGTAGAAAGATTTAGGCTGCAGGCATCATGTTTCACTTCCATTGAAGTGAACTTCTTTTTAAATTCTAAGTGACTTGTAGGATCTAGGGAGTATCCTGCTTTCCTCAACAGGAAAAGGAAACAGTGAAGAATATCCCCAGAGACTGAGACATCCCTGAAGGCACTTGCTAATAAAAAAAAAAAAATGTTCTAAAACTTCACCATGTAAAGCTGGGACTATAGTCATCAGATTCAGTTTTCTAAAATGCATTTGACAAAGCAGCAACTAACAGAGAACACAAATAGAGCATTTTACTCTGCTCAGGTGTGTAGCCGTCTGTTTCCACTCGTTTCTGCTTTTGTGCTTCCTTTCACATTATTCCTATACCTTAGTGTAGCTGGAGTGGAGAGCTGAGCTGTGGTAGTGTCAGCAGTGCTTAGGGAACAGTGCAGGGATGTAAATGAGTGTCTAAGGTGATGTGTAAGGAATGTAGAGCATCAGAAATCAATCAGCAGTATCTCTGCCATACTGCTTGTCAAACTACACATGAAGACACAACATCTAGCCTAGTTCTGTGGCAATAGTTCAACAGCTGTGTAGTGAAATGTGGTTTGAATTGAATTATTTTGTTTGTTTGCTGGGAAACACACAGAGCTGTTTACCAGAAGGTTCAAAGGTTTGAAGTGCTCATAGCACCTGAAGTTACCTGTTTCAAGCACACTTCAGCTAGGAGAATTAATTGATAAAAAAAAAAAGTGATGAATGGTGGAAAATATTTTCTGTAAAGATTTATGTTATAATCTTTGGTAGACTCCTATAGGAATATTTTCAGTTTGCTGTATGCAGCTGCTTATACTTTTTAAAGTCACAACAGAAGGAACTTCATTACATGAAATTTTAAGTTACAACAGTGAAGTGGAATGTCATTATTTTGGATGGCTTTTCAAGTTTTGGAGCTTCTATTTCTTGGGAGATGTGAAAGAGGGAGTAGGGATGTGATGGTTGAACCTGTTGGGTGGACATCAAGAGAACAAGCAGGAGAGTGAGATGCTGGGTGTAAAATATCCAAGTTGCTGCTGAAACAGTGTTTCATGAAGCAACTTACATGTGTTTTTCTTAATTGTTGACAAAAAATACTGCTGTTTATACTAAGCACTCCCAAAAATAGTTTTGTATAAATATAGTTTGCTTAGCATATGTATATTATATTTCAGTATAAAAAAATGCAGGAGGGTAATTAGCTATTGCAAGGAGAGTCAAAAAGTCAGAAGTTCTGTCTTAGCAGAAATAAATGCGAATGATTTCTTTGTACAGGTATGATGATGCTATCCAGTTATATGACAGAATTTTACAAGAAGATTCAACTAACACAGTAAGTTTAAAAGATAATTCTAAACTTCACTCATGTGTTGTTTGAAATTATGACTATATTTTCTGTTTCAGTTTGAAGAAATGTGTGTCTGTATTGCTGTATTTGTTTCCTTTAGTTTTCTGTTATAATAACCAGTGTTACCATTTCATGATGGGAAGATGTGATGTAATACTTCCTAAATACTGATTTTTCAAGTCAGATTATAACTAGTGATCTTTCCAGAAGTCTAAGTAGTGTTTAGAGCTGGGTCTTTAAAGTCTTTCATTTCTCAGAATATGGAGTATTTAAAAGACTAATAGAGTCTGTCACATGTCTTCTATGTTCCTAATGCTTAATCTTACTTAAGGATTAACTATTAATACACTCAGGTAGTGCTTGAATAGCAGTTATTTTGATTCATGTCTGGGACATTTTACTAGCTCTTGAATCAAAATGCATAAAGCATGCCAGTTGTATAAAAAAAAATCTGAGACAGACTGTAGTGTTCTTCTAAGCATTTTTGAGTATTGTTTGTAAAAGCCACTGTGAGCTACTAGCTGGGAAAATAAAAGTCTAGAGAAACTTGCAGCAATATATTTTTGTTATTTTTTTTTACCCACAAGGGTAAAACTTATAAATGAATAAACTATGGAGTTTCAGATTTTTGTATGACATAATTATTTATTGAAAAATCAAAAATATTATTAATCGTTGAGGGTGTATGTGTTACTTGGTTTTGAGTAACTGTCTATTGGGTAAACTTCTATGTAAATGTAATACTTGGGCTATTTCAGATGTTTTGGCAATCTGACATAAATTTTCCTAGGTGTGTGTTGAACCTCTCCCTTTCCTTGGTCAGCTTATTTGATGTGGTTGGCTATTCTGGAGGGGAAAACCCACAGAAACACAGATAACTGGGATTAACTAGGGTATGCCAGAGCTGGATATAGATGATGCACCATCCCTTTAACTAAGTAAACCATAAAAAAAATCCAGCAAAACAAATTTAAAAAGCAAGCATCAACATAAAAAACACCCCAAAACACCAGAATGTTATTTTTGAGGCAACACATGTGGAAACAATACCAAGTTAAGCACTTGGATAACAGTGGTAGCTTAAAGTCTGTCTGTTAACAGTGCTAGGGCTCACAGATTTTGTGCACGGGTAAAAGGAACTATTTCAGTTCTAGACTCTTTTTTTTCACTCTCCCTGAAAGAGTAGAAACTTGAGCTCAACAAAGTTTTGAGTACATTGTTGTCCACAGTAAATGGTGGATTTTATCAGTACATTGCCCAAAGAGTTTGACATGAAATCTTCAGAGTTGTGTTGGACCAATATGGAACCCACATGCAGTGAAATCACAGAATGGGTCACCTTGGTACATGTTTTATGATCTTTTGCTGACACTGGTGGAAAATGGAGCACCCTATTGCAGTGACTTTTATGGACAACAGATCTCGAAGTATACATTTTTGGCAGTTTTATTTTTTGCTCATCACAACATAGCTAACATCATCTGAGTGCTTTGTTGGATGGCATTACAAAGCAAAATATATATTTAAATGAGTAAAATGCATGCTTATTTTTTATTGGAATTTTCTCTGTAACCAAATCATAAAGATCCATAAATTTGTAATATTTAGAAGCATAAATTGTAAATATTAGAACAGTTGTGTGGTTGAATTTCTTCATTCTAATAATAGAATTGGCGAATGTTAAATGCAAAGGAAAGTTCCTTGCTATATAACTAGAATTGGTTGGGTAAGGCTTTTGCATGTCAAGACTGAAAGTTAAGTAAAAAGTTTTGATAAGTTGTCATGTATAGATTTCTTTGTGTCATTTACCTGTTAATTATTTCCATGCACACATGTGGCTGCTGTAGGAAAATAAATATTTCAAGCTTTTAGAAAAGCAACTGTTGCTGAGTTTGTCTTGGCTCTCACCAAACTTTATAGAAATTTCTTCTGGTCTGCTGACACACGGAGTTGCTTATATACATTAGATGTTTTGGCAAGTGCTTTAAGTGAAACATAGATATTTGTTCACACAAACAATGTAAAAATCATAGCTTGCATTGACTTATCAAAAAGTAGTATGGAAAAAGATTTTTCCAAAAAATTACTTCTTTTAGACACATAGCAAAATTTTCCATTATGAAAAGTAAAGTTTGAACTCAAATTATGTAATGAACATTTACACTTTTGTGTGAAGTTTCATTGGTGAAATTAACATTAATTACTTAATTTCTTAGGATAGAATTCAAAATAGTCTTTATTTTTTAAAATAGGATCATCTCTAAGTTTTATCTCACTCTGCACTTATTTTCTGAAAAAGATGATTTATTTGACAATGGAATAGTGTTAATGTCACCTCAGAGATTTTGTTTCATTTTTCGAAGTATGTAGATGTTGACTCATAGTCTCTTTCCTAAAGATTTTAAGGAATGAAGTGTGACTCTTGTGCAATACATAACTTGCATACATTTCAATAGGGTAAGAATTAGAATCTTTTCCATTTTTGTCTGTTTGGGTTGAAATGATGGCATGTTAGAGGTCAAGCTGACAGCTTCCTCTTATTAAGGCTGCATAGTATTTTCTATTGTAGGGCTCTTTTATTAATTAAAATTTCATGTAGTGTCCAATTGAAAACGTTTCTAGTGATGCTGAACAGTGACTGATTTGTTTGTAGATACTCAGATAAAATGCTTATTCTGTTTCTCAGAACAAAATAAAAGAGAGTTATTGTGTTTTAGTAGTGTTTGTAGAAAGGGTTTTATTGTTAGTTTTTGCTCTTTTTGTATTTCATTGACAAATCCTTATCCTGCTCTGCTTTGGAGGGGGAGACCTTTTAGTTAGACAGCTAAATATTTTTCATCAATCAGGCTCTTCTCAAGGTGGTCTATTCAGCAGAGTAGAGAAGCTTGTTGATGAGAAAGGAAATTAAGTTCATGTATTCAAGACTTAGATTGGTGTCTAACCCACTGCACTGTCATTGTAGTGGATCTGCAGTTTCTCTTGATTATTCAGCTCAACCACCAAGAAGATTGCAGAGCACTTGGTCAACACCAAGGGAAAGTGAGATTAAGGCACAGAGTTCTGCCTTAATTCTAATCCATAGAAAATCTGGAGTCTTTATTAGGATTATTCTTCAACTGTTTTTATTGCCACATTTTCAACCAAGCTTTTCATGCAAGACACTCTGTCTGCTTTCTTAGCTTCAAACGTGTGGATAGTCTCATTACCATCATGGGTTTAGTAATAGAATTGTGTGAATGAAGAATTTAAAATTTTTGTAATAAGATTGTTCTCTCATCAACTCTGTTGTTGATTGAAGTGGGCAGGAACAACTGTGTGCATGTGGTCACATGAAGATACCCTTTCTCTTACTATTTTGAGATTCTTTTTGTAGATGAGCTGGACTTATTTCAGAAGAGGCACAGGAGGTGGTTGAAGACCTCTATATACTAGAAGACCTCTATAATACTAGAAGGATTCAGAGCAATATCTTAGAATCATGTAAATAGGCAGCAGTTATACACTATGAATATTTGAGTTCATCACTTTCTGTGACTCTGCATTACTGCCATCTTGACTGTATAGGTAACCTTTCTTTCCCTACCTCCCTGTCTCCACTAAGTCAGATGAGAATCATAAGCACTGAATTTGAGCATTGGATATCTGTTTATCATCTGAACCGTGATAATTCCTTAAAACTGCTGCAGTAGCTGTGAATTCATTTTTAACAGGGACCGCCTGTGAAGATCTTGCCACTCTATACATTTATCTACAGGATGTTCTGGGTTGCAAAAGGGAAAACTGCTCACCAAATGAAGCATCTACTAATGGGCAGAATTTTATGCGGTGATGTGTGTTTCCTTAAATATATTGGCCACTCTGCCAGGAAAGACAGAACTAGACCTAAACATAGGTGTGTACAGTGATAGTTTTAAAGGGAGTTGAACACGATAGCTTGGCACTGACTGACACAGGATGGAGTTGGTGAGAGTTGTGAAGAGCAGCTGTTCTTGCTTCAGTTAGTTCCCAATGGGACCTGATGGGTAAGCTGAGAATGCCCTATGTGGTCCTAAAAAATTGTTTTTTTGCTTTTGACAGAGCCTCATTTACCATTGTGGGGTTTTTTTGCTTCTTGGTCGTGATTGGTGAAGTGAGAGAGCAGAGTGCATTCTACCATTTGTCCCATGTTTTGTGCGTGTAGCACTTTTAAATGTTATGGAGATTCTGTCTCTTGAAATTAAGTATTTGAGAACAGAAGAGCTGCTGTACTTTTGCAGTTGTGGCAAAAGTCCATTTTACTTGTCCGGTGTCTGGCTTTGACTTATTGCAGATACCAGAAGTGTATTAGAGCAGGGCAATGACAATATACTGTGGTCTGTTCTGCCAGTTCCTATTCACCTTCATGTTGCAATTTTCCTGTGCCAGAAATGTTAACTCTGTTTTTAATAGCTCTTCATGAAATTTCTGCATAGATTTACTTTTAAAGTTTCTTGTTTGCCATGCCTACATCTACAACATAATTGAGAAATTAAATGTTGTAATTTTTTAATTGATTGTGTAAATCTCCCTTGTTTGTGGTGTTTTTTTTCCGTTCCCACACCTTCAATCTAACAATTTTATTTAATGCCTCTGAATTTGTCTGTTGGTGTTCAGCAGTTGTTTTCACTTTATTAATGCTCATGATTTTAGGGATCTTTTGCACTTTTCTTGCCTCTGAGCTAAGGAGTCTTAATGTGCAGCTATTCTTGTTGCCATTCTGTGCCTTAAAACTCTGCTGTTCTCCATGTAATTTCTGTGTTTTTTCTTATATTTTGGTGAGAAATGAAAGGACTGAACAGCAGTCAGTATTAAAAATGCAGGAGCATTGTGAACTTACAAATAACAAAGTGATGCTACAGATATCTCTTCTGTATTCTTTTCTGATAATTCCAATATCACAGTATTTTCAGTTTAGGGTTTTGGGGCAGGGTTTTTGGATTTTTTAAGATGGTTTCTGAAGACTGAAT